GATCCTCTCTTCACTGACTATATTCTTCCAGGCTAGGAAAATTACTCTCATTTTATCTAGCAGATAGAATTGAATTTTCAGACATTAAATGTTTGCATAATGCATCTCAAAAATGCTGCAAACTCATTGTCTTAAACTTCAGCCCTCCCTGTACCATCCTCCATTATGCATTCTGTATTTGCAATTTCAGATCTCTTCTCTGAGGAAATCACTCTAGTACGATTTTGCTCCAGTTTTTTATTGAACACAGAGGAGTTTGTAGTTTCAAGACCTTGCTCTTTGTATACTGAATTTCAATTTGAAAATTCAAAATATGTAGAAATACAATCATGCAAATGTTATTGTGGATTTTTCTTGTTATTAGGAGAAATGGGAAATTCTTAATGGCTCCTTTCTATCTCTCCATATTAATTTCTACATCTTTTTCTATCTCAGTTTCACTGAATCTAGACATTAATTTTTTCATGCTGGTATTGATTTTTCCTTTTTCTTTTTTTCTTTTTTTGGTCTTTTTGAGACAGGATCTCACAATGCCGTTCAGGCTGGACTTCAACTCACTTTGTAGCCCAGGCTGGCCTCAAACTTACAATAGTCCTCCTGCCTCAGGCTCCCAAATGCTGGGATTACAGGTGTGTGCCACACCTGATTTTTTCCCCTTATATTTACCTTTACTCTCAACTTAAACACAGCTTTCTTAGGAAGGTCAATCGATATTATTGATTGAGTTACTTCATAGTTACATATTCACACACAGCTACAACACCTTCAGAGTCCTTTGATTATGTTTTTTTTAAACAGTCCTGGTGCTTGAACCCAGGGCCTCATGCATATTAGCCCATTACACCAACTGCTTTCCTTATTAGCATAGTATGCACTTTCACTCTAGGAATGAGGGTAAAACCATAAAGGGAGGGAGAGGAAAGGGACAGAGATATAAAAGAATTAAAATGTGTTATGTACGTGTAAAATTCCCACTGTGAATGGGATCCTTATGTACTGCAAACACAAAACTTGTACCATGGTGACCACCGTACCTGACATATCACATGTACTTCTTCATTCTAATCTGGTTTTGTGGTCACAACACTAACATATGCATAATAAAGCCCATAAAATGGAACAGGCGAGTACACAGAAGGGAATTCAGATATACAGGGATGCCATACTGGGAAACAAAGGAAATCTAAACTTAAAAAGAAAATATGGAATATTAAATAACATATTTTCATTGTTGCTTTTATAATATTCACAGCCAGAGAAAATAAGAGATAATTTACAGAAGGTACAAAATTTTACATTGCAAAATTTGTGACTGATATGCAGGTTTATAATCCGAGGTGCCTCTCTTACTCTTTTCTTAAATCCCCAGTTCTGGGAATTGAAACCAAGGGCTCACGCACGGGAGGCAAGCATGCTACCATTAAGGTATTCTTTAGTCCCTTTTATTTTTTATTCTGAGGTCTCACTGAGTTACCTACACAGTACCAGCCTTCAACTTGCAATTCTCCTTCCTTAGCCTGTGGAGTGACATTCTGTTTATGAGAAGAACTAATCGTCTTGCTTACAGTGTTCCAGTGCCTTCTTCTAATTACCAGGATAAAATCCAAGTTCTCAAACATTTCCTCTATATTTTCTGCTTTCCTCTGATCTCATTCCTTCCAGAGTTCTACTCATTCACTAAGCCTTGAGTTCCAGGCACACTGATTTTTTTCTCGGCCACATAAGTGTCAAACATGTTATTGCTTCTCCCGCATTCCAAGTATTGCCACTTTGTTATCATTCATGTCCTAATTCAAATATCACTTTCTCAGAGGGATTTTTCTTGATCTCTTCAGTTAAAACACTTCTTTCTATTCAAAGACATTTCTTTTCCAGAAATTCAGTAGTACGTTACATAACATCTATTATTTACAAGATTGATATGTCTATGTTCATATGAAGGCAGAGACTTATCTTTTTCTGAAAATATCCTCTGCAGCTAGAGTAGCAACACATGGTAGATCTTTCATAGATAGAGTAAATGAATTATTTTGGATACATGGGGTCAAGCTTCTCAAGCCTTGGACTCCCAAAGGAGTCCAAGAAGTTCCCAAGATGTCAAAGCAAATGTGTGGTTTTCTAAATGTATTTAGTGACCTCTACTGGAATGCTTCTCATGGAAATCACCAACAAGTCCTTACTTTTTCCCTATTGCCCTCTCCGCTCTTCATTGAATGGCAAAAAAGCAAGGGTGGGCATGAAATTATGGGTGAGGGTCTTTTGAGCATCCTCCTGCTTTCTAAATCTTTGACTATTTTCCCCTATGATTTATGCTAATGAGCTAGAAGGATTTAGAAAGCAGAAGACTTTCCTTGATTTCTTTCCAAATCTTATTGCATAAATGACTGCCTTTTTCTGAAAACACAGCTAAACAGTGAAACTTCAGAGAGAGCTGAAGTTATGGACACATTTCCTGTGGTGTCATTTCCCTTCTCTTGTCTCAAGGAGCAATTTTGAAAAGGGTACTTACCAATAAAAAGCAAAGAATTGGCCAAAGGTTGTCCTCACGTTGAGAATAACAGTTTCACAAGTTTCATAAAAATTTTGTAAGTTGGCACTGAGGGATCACTAGGAAAACACCCTTATTTGACATAAAGTCTAGTGTGAAACCAGGAGCAGGAATTCCAAAAAAAATCAAATGAATGAGAGTGGAAATCTGCGAAAACATCATGAAGTGATGTGATTATAAAGTTTTGGAGGCTGCCTTGCTTATCCTGAGTGTTGTGTGTATGTATCTCCACATGTATACTGAATATTGCAGAAAATTTGTAGAACACAAGCCAAATAACCACAAAAAAGATTAAGCGTAACCACTTAAAGACAATCCTTGTAAAATTCTTAGTATAGAAACTTCCATTCTTTTACATCTATCCTAGTATTTTATTCATGGGCCCATTACAAGTAGAAGTGTTTTATATGTGCATGTGTATATACATGTATGTGAAATAAATTGAAATATACTATTTACCTTATATCTTCAACATTGTCATTTAACATTGTGTAATATATTCATTGGTCTTTTCTCAACATTTTCCCAAAAATGTTTTATGTAATTAAGTGTTTTGGCAAGTAATATATTTGCACAGTACAATGCAGAAAAATTCTTTTAATTATTTTTCATTATTTTCATCTCTAATGGTAGTGGCTGCCATTCGGGGAAGGATTTCATTTATTAAATAAAGCTGAGCATGACCAACATGGTTGGCATAGTGTCAGGCAGTATGCTGAGTCACTTACATAAATTCTTATTTTAATAGGAAAACTAAAGGAGAGTTAAAACATTAGCTCAAGGTTACAGAGGAGCCACGCAGCTGACTGAACTCGTTTCAAGACGAAGTGCTGCATACCCAACACGTGTTAGAAATGAGATAAGCACTCTGGGGCAGGTGGGCAGGTCGGGTAATGTGAATCAGCTCTGCTGGGTTCTGTTCAGTCCTGGAAGGACCAGTGTGAAGGCTGCAGAGTGAGCTTGAAGCGCTGTCTTCTTGTCTGGTCTTCTTGAGGTCAATCCTTTCTCATTCATTAACAAGTGCTTCTGTTTCGTTTTATCAGAACTTTGTTTGCAGAACACTTTGGAAGTTATGTCAACACAAACACAGCATTATGTAAAAAAGGTTGTCCATCTCACTCTTCACAAGGTGGCCTCTTATCTTTGCTATTTGAGTCCTTTTTTCGATTTGCCTTGTAACCTTTATTCACAACTCAGGCAAATGGACAATACACTGTGTACTTCCATTTATAGACTCAAACATGTCACTGACTCTTGAAACACATAGTTACTGTATTTGGTCCGCATATACTTATTAATATCACATAATGAAGTATGGTTTTACTTCTCTTGAGTGATTAAAACAAGTGTAAATCCATTAGATCACCTATATGGAAAATGGTGAAAGACATAATAAAAACTTCTAAAATAGTATTAACAAGTAACAAGTTAAATTCTGGTTATCTGCTTATAAATCTTACATAATTTGCAATACTAGGTATCAAACTCAGGGCCTCACCCGTGGTAGGCAAATGTTCTGTCACTGAAAACTATATATCCTCAGTCCTTTCATGAATTTTACTTTGATTCAAGGTCTTGCTGGATTTTCCATGCTGGCTTCAAACTCACAACCTTTCTGCCTCAGCTTCCTAAGTAACTGGAATTACAGGCCTGTGCCATTGCACCTAGTTTCAATTATATTTGATATAAGCTTCAATTTGGCTGCTCTATAGTATAATATTGACTGTAGACTAAATCTGTAAAGTATGTCATTCCTTTAGGAATGATACATGGTAATATGTGCATAACACAGTGACCTACATGTATATACAAATACAGTGGGAAAGCAAATACGTGGATTTATTTGCAATGTAATCTTGGTGATATTTCTGAACTTATGATCTTTGCAACTTTCTTTCCCTGATTGCATATTTTCAGATCCACTGAGTTATTCTGCATCAACTTGATAATACTTAAAGTAATTTTACAAATGTGACTAATATTAACTACCCAATTAAAACATGGGCTAATCTGTTAAAATTACATTCTTTACAAACAATACCAGAAGACACAGAGATTTATGCTTTCTCATATGCAGGGGGGGGGGCTTTCTCACAAGGAAAGGAGAATCAAGATCTATGCCTATTGTCAAAATTCAGTTTATAGGTGTGGAAGGAAATAATTGGGTATTTTTTTTTAAGACTGAAAAGAGGCATCAAAAAAAAGAGGGTAGGCAACGTAAAAGAATTTAAAGCTAGAAACTCATCTCAATAAATTCTACACCAATCCAGTGTCATCTGAGACTTCATGAGGGGACTTGCTAGTACTGGGTTGCTCTGGACATGATGAAATAAGCACTGGTGGCAGCGTGAGTCTGGGAGTTTGGTCAAAGGGACAGGGGTAAAGGGCTGGCCTTGCGTTATGCTCAGCCCACCCCACTGGTGTCTGCCCAATTCCTGATCCAGAGGATTTCACTGGTTGCCCTGGGTTGTTTGGACAGATAGTAGTTAGGGCTGTTGTCCTCACTGAACCTGCCCAGAAAGATTGCAGAAATTGCTGAGATTTCTCCTTTCCCTAGGAGCTCTGTGGGAACCACATGAGATTTCATTCTGCGGGGTTTATACCTACAAGCTCTGCATCTACCAGCTCTAAGCCTCAGTGTCTCAGCTCACCTGTCCTGGGATTCTAATCAACTGAAACAGAGACTCAACAAGCAGTCAGAGAACTGGAAGGAGAATGCTCCGAGGCAGATCCTTATCGGTGACATCCCTGGGTGGACTTCCTCAGTGGGAAGCCGACAAACTTCCTGTGGAGGATTTGCTGCTCTTTGAAATTTCTTGGGAGGTGACCAATAAAGGTTTGTACCGTTCCCTGGGCTGCCAAAGCATGCAGATTTAGAACTTTACTGGTGACTTTAGTGATTGTGAAATGCCTAGCAATTGAGGCCAGTGTTCAAACTGAATCCTATATGCCTAGGTTACATTGACAGCTGTCTTTCTCAACAGGGAATGACAACTTAAACCAGTGGATGTATTTAAGATGGAGAAAGCTGAAAATACTAGTGACTGCCAGAGAATATGAGATTAAATTAAAAAATTTAAATCCACTTTATAACAAAACAAGAATATAAAGTTTATTTACTTTTTTGTTTTATGATTATTCTCAGACTCGTAATTAAGTACTTTATTTGAGGAAGAATAGTATATGATGAAGACAAATTAGAAACTGTAACTCTACATCCTATAAGTGAGTATATGAAATATTTAGTAATCAAGATTAATTTGAAGTTAAAGATTTAATTTAAAAGCCGCCCAGAAGGCATATTATAAATTTTTCTTCAAAGTTATGTGTGTATAGAAATGATACAATATGAAAGGACTTAAAATTGGTCAAAATAAAACAATTTCTCACTAAGGTATAACATCATTTGTGCCAGATTGGAGAAGCCAACTAAATGAATTTAATCATGACAACAGTCCCCATGTGCTGATATTCTCTAGTTTAAACACGTCAAGACATCAAGGGGATATTAATAAAAAAAGGTTCCAGTTCCGAAGGCTGAGTTCCTCAAGATCGTGAAGGACCAGGATCAGAGAGCTATGGATGAAAGGCAGTGGCCATTTGTAATTTGGAGGATCTGAAATGGTAGCATGATGTGACACCTTTTGGCTGACCAGAACCAATGTAACCTCAAAATTAGAGTTGTATTTGGCCTCCGTTCTGCTTTTATGAGACCTGTTCCATTTCTCCTGTGCATGCATTTATAAAATTCCGAAAAGCAAAAGTAACAATCTATTCTGCTTGTACAGGGTGTGCAGATGCCCTCGGGAGCCCACAGCCTACCCCTCCTCTTTATAGTTCATAAAGAAGAGCAAAGAGGGCAGAGGACTTAGTATGGAGAAGGAAAATATTTTCTTAGTAGCTCCTTCTAGTGTCTTTTTTCTAGTCACAGTTTTTTTTGTCTGTCCAGTTTTTAAATATTTCAGAAGTTCCTGTGACTCCTCTGCTACATTTGAGTCCCAGCGTACCTTGATATAAAGGTTTTCTCTACAGAGTAAGGAGAGACTCAAGGACATCTCTTGTCTGTGGGAAGAATTTGGGGCTGGGTGTGTCTTTCGCACCAAATAGCAGCCTAGAAGGTCTGTGCACAGGTTTCTCTAGTTTAGCAGTGTTCAGTCTTTTTCCGACCTTTCTCTCCACTTAATGAACAGTGGCACGTAATGACCACTGTTATTCCACAAGTCTCAATCCTGGTGATGTACATGGTGATGTAAGATGGGTCTAGAACTTTGTTTTCCCCTTTTTTAGACAAACTTTCACTTGCAGTTTAGGCTGGCCTTGAACTCACTTTCTCAGGTTGGCCTCAAACTTGCAGTGATCCTCCTGCCTCAGTTTCCCATGTACTGGGATACAGGCATGACCCATCAAACGGAGAACTATTGTGTTTCTCTTTGACATTTTACCACAATAGTTTATTTTTAAAATTTTACCTTGAATTTCTGCTCCCTGAAGTTCATGCCATGAGGCATATTAAAGATCACAAATTCGGTTCCTCCATTTCTTAGATGAAATGGGTCAGGAAGGCTTTAAATAATCATCAAGGAGATGGCAGAGAAGAAAGTTGAATTTAGATCTTTTCCAAATCCAAGTCTTTTTGATAGCACATAAGAATTAATTCTTAAAACCTCCACTAAGGAGGTGCTCCATAGATAGAAAAGGTCTGAGTTGTGGTTAAGTGTCAGAGATTTATGAAACTCTGAAAAAAAAATCCAAAGTGTCTGAATATCAGCTTTTTCATGACTAAAATGAATACACAGGAGTATGTTCTAGCCCTCTTATGGTATTCCTTGACAGACAATGGAATGTATTCATAACCAACAAAAAACCCTAAAAATTTCTTAAAAGAAAAAATCTCCTTCACTGCTAGGACTTTGCCTGTGAAAAATGGAAATATATTCAATAAAACAAGTGAAGGAGTCACAGTGAAATTATCCAAGGTTAATTCTAGGACCTCGAAACAACCTTGTTCATATTAGCCTGAAATTTATTGCTTTTTATCCATTCATCCATTTTTAATCAATATCCATCTATTATTCAATTAAGATTCATCAAGTGTCCATGAGGTGTCAGACAGTGGGAGACTGGGGAGACAGAGTTTACCAAAATAGCATGGGTTTCTAGTCGTCTAGAATTTATACTCGCAGGAAGATGGACATGACGGTCAATGTGATGAGTATGGGGCCAGAAGAAGAAGGTACTCTGAGACCGCTCAGAGCGGTAGTGGTGGTGGGATTCCTAACCTAGATTGGGGTTTGACACAAACCTCTCCAGCAACAAGACATTTGGTCTATCAACTAAAAGTTAAATCACTGTGTGGCCGTGATAGAGGGGCCAATAAAGGAGAGCAGTCAGTGTTCTGTGAGTGGATGCCAACACACACAAGTGTGTGGTGTCCGGAGATCTGGGCGGAGGTCAGAGAGGGAAGAGACAAGGATGAGGAAGAGACCTGGTGGGGCTAAATTGTGATGCCCTCAATGAAATATTAGCTGCAAGGAGTTTCAACTCAGGTCTATCAGCTATGAATTGAGGTCATTATGTTCTAAGCAGTGGGAATGCTGACTGTGTCCTGAGACTTTCAAGAAGCACCATTACTAGTCAGGGGAAATAGAAAAGTCAGACTGTGACATGCGTTTGGATAAAAATTTTTGCCTACATGTTGGAGGAAATATTTTTTTTCTCTTTGCTCAGGCCTTACAACAATGATTTCCTCTGCACAGACTTGAGCAATTCACTTGAGACTATTACATTGAGGATTTTTAGGATTATTTAAAAATTTAATAAATTCTGTCACAATGAATATTAATTAAGAGATATAAAGGCTTCTGAGGTGTAGGGTTTTTTTTTTCCTGAAGGATCGAACTCAGGACCACACACTTGCAAGGCAGGCTCTTATGCCACTGAGCTAAATCCCCAGCCCCCTGACATGTAGTTCTTAAACAAAGTTTTCCCTCTTAAAGTATTCTAGACATTGTTTTACTGCTAAGCCAGCATATTGCTGGACATAATACTTTCACTTGCTCTCTCTTAAACTGGACATCATAGCCCTAGATGACATGCTGGAATGACAAACTGAAAGGCTCAGAAAACTATAAACAAATTGCATGGTAGAAATGAACAGTAACCTCAAATTCAGAATTTGCAGGCAGGCATTGTAAAGGTGACGACTTTGACAAAGGTGGAGCTCAAAAAGTGTGCAAAACTTTAGAAATTGTGTCTAGAAAACGTGCGCATATATGTGTCAGAGTCTTTCCTGAGAAGACCTTGTGTTTTCATCAGATTTTCAGATGCCTCTATGATTCATATTGGTGCTACTGAGTTGAGTTCCTTGTATACTCTTGGTAGTAATCCTTATCAGGTGCATAGTCTGCAAATATTTTTCCCATTCTGTACTTGTCACATCACTCTGTAGACTGTTTACTTTGCTGGGCAGAAGATTTTAATTTCATGAAATCCTCTTTTGCTGTTTTTGCTTATGCTACTTATGCTTTGGAGTCTTATCCAAAAAAGAGTCTTAACTTAATCATTCCAATGTCCTGAAGCAAGCGCTCCAATGTTTTCTTCCAGTATTTTTAGTGTCAGATCTCACATTTAAATCTTTAACTACTTGGGATAACTTTTGCACTTGGCGTGAGGCAGAAGTTTGGCTTCGGTCTTAACTTTTCTTATTGCTGAGACAACTAACCAACCCTTGAAGTTAAAGGAAGAAAGGTTTATATTAGCTCATAGCTTGTAGAGGTTTCAGTTTATGCTTGGCTAGCTTAACCGCAGGGTGTCATGGGACAGGGGCAGTGCAGAGAAGAAACAGTTCATAGCAAAAGAAGGGCAAACAGAAAACAGCGAGCAGCAAGTGGAGACCCTCTTTCTATCCTTTGTGTTACATCCTTTCCTTTAAGGTACCTAGCACTCATAACTAAGGTGGAGCAACCTTAGTTCTACCTACAACTGTGCCAAACCAATCAGTGGACTAATTTAGTAATCACACACCTTTGATCTCAGCATCCATCTACCTCTGAAAAGTCCCACCTATGACTGCATGAGGCTTTGGAGGACATCTAGACACAAGCCATAACAGCTTCATTCTTTTGCACATAGATGTCAAACCTCACTTGTTGAATAAACTGTCCTTTCCTCAATGAATGTTCTTGGTATCTTTGTCAAAAATCAGCTGCTATAGACGTGTAGATATGTTCTTAGGCCTTCTATTCTGCTCTATAGGTCTACTTCTAGTTTATTCCAAATCTATGCTATTCTGATTATTACACATTTATTATGGCACATTTTAATTATAGCATATTTTAATATGTCTCCTGCTTATTCTTTTTGCCCAAGACTGATGTCTTGATGATTCTATAGAAACCTTAAGGTTGTCTTTTCTGTGTCTGTGATGAATACCATTGGTATTTTAATGGGATTGCATTGAGTCTATAGGTTGCATCGGATAACAAACATTTTAATATTCTTACCACAATGATTTCCTCTTCACAGACTTAATCAATTCACTGAGACTGTTATGTTCAGGATATTTAGGATTATTTAAAAAGTTAACAAATTTTGTCACAATGAATACAATTAAGATATGCAAAGGCTTCTGAAGTATAGTTCTTAAACAGAATCTTGAAGAATTATACATATTAATTCTTCAAATCCAAGAACATAGGTTGTCCTTTTATTTTGTGTGTGTATTCTTCAACTTCTTTCTCCAATGTTTTGTAGTTTTTATTGTAGATCTCTTTCTCTTGGTTAGATTTGGCTGAATTTATCACTGTGCGTAATTTTAGTAGCTAATATAAGCATGGA